ATATGAAATAAAGAGGATATTTAAAGCTGAAGTGTCTCATTATTTTACTTTATTTATCCCATGTTAATATGAAGAAACACCTATAAGTGAAGTGAACTTTTTGTTGGTTTTCTTGTTGATTAACCCTATGTTTACGACCAATCCAACGCAGCAACATTGGCCTAACCAATCCAGGTTTCATGAGAAAATGCAACTATTTTACAAAGGAGTGGTTTCATACAGAAATGTATGATTTTTAGATTGGTAACGGTTTGTCCGACCAATAAAAATTATATAAAAACAGTTCTGTTTGCAATTCCAATTTGTGATGTTACTCGCTCAGAAATGACACGCTTCAGCTTTAATGTCATTCAGTGGATCATATTGAGTTATGGTGATGGAACAGAGAGAAAGATCTGTAAATGTTGGTTGCAAACATTTATGAAGCCTTCATGAAGATTTAAACACTTTCTGTGGTGAACTTGTATGCGTATTGAATCCCTCTCTGTTATTTTGTATAATGTAAGAAGAGCATGTGTGTGTATTGGAGGGGCTTTGGGAAAGGTGCGTGGAGGCAGAAAGCATACACACACATTAGCATTTATTGCAAGCTGTGAGAGACTGAAATTAAGAGAGAGTCTACAAACTATGACAAACAAGTGACTTCTTTAGTCTCTCTCTCTCTCACAAGAGCATGTGTGTGTATTGGAGGGGCTTTGGGAAAGGTGCGTGGAGGCAGAAAGCATACACACACATTAGCATTTATTGCAAGCTGTGAGAGACTGAAATTAAGAGAGTCTACAAACTCTGACAAACAAGTGACTTCTTTAGTCTCTCTCTCTCACACACACACATACACAAACATTAAATAGGTCATAATGTCCTAAACACTGTATTCATCAACTGGCTATGCTGCCAAACTGTGGCACTTTTAGTTATATTAGCAAAATCTTGAATCTCAGCACAGATTCAGAGAACAATGAAATACAGATCACAGAAGCAGACAATGCCTTCAGAAAGAGGGGTTGTTATTGAAACTAAACTACTTGCAAATGTGGGTCGCTAATTTATGGAAGAGGACCAGAGAGCAAAGAGAGTCAAGACAGGCAGATGGTAATTCAGACAATACTGCAGTGCCACCTGCTGGCATTATACGCTTGACACATAGTTTGGACATAGGGAAAGTGTGTTCTCATCCTAAAGCGGGTTAGTGCAACACAGTCTCATGAAAAGCAGCCTAACATGTAGACTATCACTGTTCCTCTCTTAACATGCAAATTAGCAAACGAAATTGGCATAGTAGAGGGTTGCAACGAAAAACTGAATGAATACTGAATGGAATATGAAATATTCATGCAATAATAACAACCACACACAAGAGACATTGTAGGGACTGTAATGCTTTGAATGTTGAATAGGCTCAGTTTTCCAACCCATGCAGTATTAAGTATTAAGCATTTGTTTCCAAAAAATTTATAACTGTTTGGAGGAAAATATCATGTGCCCTTGTTAAATGGATAGTTCACCCAAAAATGAAAATTCTGTCATTAATTACTCACCCTCATTTCGTTTCAAACCCGTAAGACCTTTGTTCATCTTCAGAACACAAATTAAGATAATTTTGATGGAATCTGAGAGCTGTCTGACCCTGCATAGACAGCAATACAACTGAAATGTTCCCAGGTCCAGAAACATAGCAAGAAGATATAATCCATGTGACATCAAGGGTTCAACTGTAATTTTACGAAGCTACGAGAATACTTTTTGTGCGTAAAAGAAAAAAAAATAACAACTTTATTCAACAATTCGTCTCCTCTGCATCACCCTAGCGCCATTTTGGAGAGTATCCGCACAACGTTGTTGTGATTTGATCTGAACAAAAACAGCGTATCCGTGTGATGCAGCTGACACAGAACAGCATACGTTGTTTACGTCCAGCGGATACTTTCCAAAATGGCGCTAGGGTGATGCAGAGGAGACGAATTGTTGAATAAAGTTGTTCTTTTTTTTTCTTTTACGCACAAAAAGTATTCTCATAGCTTCGTAAAATTACGGTTGAACCCCTGATGTCACATGGATTATTTTACCAATCTTCTTGCTATGTTTCTCAACTTTCAGTTGTATTGCTGTCTATGGAGGGTCAGAGAGCTCTCAGATTCCATCAAAATTATCTTAATTTGTGTTCCGAAGATGAACGAAGGTCTTACGGGTTTGAAACGACACGAGGGTGAGTAATTAATGACAGAATTTTCATTTTTGGGTGAACTAACCCTTTAAAGAAATCTAACATGAAATAGCCTACAGGAATGAAGACTGGGTAGCGTGTTATGGAAAAGACTTGGGTGTGTTTCTTTGAATGCTTTTAAAAAATGCCCATTTGGCTTCATTTATCTAAGTACAATCATGCATGACAGAAAACAACCTTTACAATGATGGGTTAAAAACACCAAACTAATCCTTTAATATTCTATAATATTTAATATTATGACAAGAATTCTGGAGAGGCTTTTTAACAAGGGTAGAGACTATCTATTATTAAATAAATACATTAGTGGAAAAGGTTGTTTAATGCTAAAGCAGTAATTCACACTGAATGATTGCAACAACATAAGAACACAACAATGAACATTCAACAGATTCATACAGAGCTGCTTGGACCACATGTGACACTACAGACAAGATAACAGCATGGTAGAAAAGAGACATTTGTCACAAAACACCAAAATCACTGTTTTGTGACCAACTGAAAGTACTATAAACTTAAATAACTTAAAAAGATAACTTAAAGTAACTTAAAAAGTACCATAATATAATAAAATACTAATAATACTTAAAAAAAACATTGAAATTGAAAGTCTAAAATTACTAAACTAAAACTGAAATAAAAATAATTTAAAGCTAAATGGAAAAACGAATAAAAATAACAAAATTACTCAAATTTAAACTAAAACTAAAATCAATATATAATAATAACCCTGCAATAACACTGTTATAAAATAACACTGCAATTAGAACCAAAAAAGAAAAAAGCAATATCAATAAAGTGCCAACTTGGTAAGACCTACTGAAAACAAAATTCTTGTCGGAATGAGCAAAACAAACATACAACTTAACGGACAGCAGGAAACAGCAGTGCAGTGATGTGCAATGAAATAATTGTTTTGTTTCAGTCAAATGAGAAGTGTCTGATGAAAAGTTGGAGATTGAAAATATGAAGAAAATGACAGCATAACATACAAAAGAGCTGACCGATGCAACATTATGTCAACCTAGCATGACGTTTTCAGATGTACATGAAGGCAGAGATCTGAATAAATATGACAAGAATGAAGAGTGAGGGAGGGGCCAGCCACCCAGGGCCACAAGCACTCCAGTGCAGTCACACCGTCTTCCCAGCATGCACTGCATGCAAGTGGGAGGCTCACAAGTGACGTAAACCAGTAGTGAGATGGTATGAGAGAAGGACACAGTTAGCAGAGGCATAATTCTATACTATTAATAAAAATCTAGCGCAAACCAGCCCAAAGCAGCGCTAACACCATTTCCCTATGTGACAACCAGACAGGCAGAATTACCTGAAGGAAAAGTCCTGGTTTACTGACTCTCTCTACTCACAGACATTGACTTCCATCTTGCTCAACCGCTTGAAGTTCTGACGGCTTCACACGCCTTCGCTCATCCTCTGGACACAGAGCTTGTCCCTTCAGCAACCACTCATCTAGCTAAAGGTTATTACACTTCCTACACAAATAAACTTTACACTCCCTGGATTTTCTCAAAGTAAAACCATTAGAATCTAAAATAGTGATCTGTCAAAATTTTTCCAGTCCCCAGATCAGTGCCATATGCAAAGCTCTGTGATAGTTAGACAACTGACTGACAGATCAACATCCTTATCGCATGAAACCCCTAGGCAGTCTAATTTATAACCACAGGCTTAAGAAAGAAATGTCTGACAAGTTCAATGAAAAAAAAAATCTTCAAAGGGATAATAGTGTTGGTGATTTGAAGTTTGGTCTAAAGCAAAATCTTTTACTGTCTGCCAGGATTTACTTTTCAACAGATAAGAAATTACTTCTGGAATAATATTGACTGCATGTGCAAGCGATTTCAACATTTGCTAACCTTTTTAACAAACCTGCCCTTGCGTAATCACTGGAATACTATCACAGTATCAAAGGGTTAGATTCTAAGATCTACACAGAAAAAGGTAAAATAACAAATGATCTAATTCAGTGGTTCTCAACTTTATTGACTCTTCAAGGCACCCCATTGTCCAACATACTGGTAAGATATTTCCTCTGGTATTTCTGCTGTAATTATGACAACATTGCTTGCTTTCAAATTTTTTAATAAATGTTTTAAAATATAAATAATCATTTTTTTTATAATTTTGTGATTCTAGAAGATTCAATGTGTTCGGTTTCTGTATGTTGTTCAAAAAGTTGTTATTGAGGGAATATATATATATATATATATATATATATATATATATATATATATATATATATATATATATATATATATATATATATATATATATAGATAGATAGATAGATAGATAGATAGATAGATAGATAGATAGATAGATAGATAGATAGATAGATAGATAGATAGATAGATAGATAGATAGATATTCCAATAAATTGAATGCTTAAAATGCTTAACTTTATTTAAAAATAGTTTTAAATAATTTAAATAAATAATTTTAAGCAACCCTGTGCCCCTGGATGTTTGCCAAGACCTCGGCCCCCTTGTTGAGAACTACTGATCTAATCTAGAAAGCAGAGTGGTTTATTTGTGAATTTATGGCCAAGAATAAAATAGGAATGATTACTTCCAGCCTTGCTATTTTAAGAAAAAAGTTATCAGGTTATAGGCTATAGGCTATATATCTAAAGATTAATATTAAGACCATTATTTAATAGAAAGTGCATTTCCTTTCTGTAGACATAAATCTTTTGAACCCATGCAGACTTTCACACCCAAACAAATCCCAGTGCCAAAAAGTGTTTCCACATGATTAGTTCATCACATTTCTTTTATTTGATGGATTTGAAAGACTTGCACAGATGCAGTGATGTTCTCAACAACCATCAATATGTAAACACACAATCCAATACGGGAGAGAATTTAAATGGTGGTGACACTCTCATGAACAATTCCAAAATCTATACTATAGAGTGAACAACTGCATAACTGACATTTATCTTCATTCTTTCTGCTTTCCTCTCACATGCTTTGACCTTCCTGTTACAGCAGTACTGCAGTCTGTCTATGCCACCTGTCTAGCTCTCTCTATCTTGGGGTGCTTTACTGAGGCACATTAAGTATTTGTGCCGAAAGGCCATGGTGCCAGTTTTTCAGTTTAGCAAAACGAGGGCCTTTGGCTTCAGATTCAAACCTTTCCCTGTAACATCAACACATATATACAAGACAAAAGGGGAAGGAAAAAAAGAGAAAAGAGAGGTTGGAGAAATGAGTTAGGGAATATGGCATTCACTCCCCTGCCCAAGATGTGTAAGTGTATACAAATATGCATGGCTGCCTTGAGGTCAAATGTTCTAGTACCCACTAAATGTTTCACATTCAACTAAATGCCAGAGGTCACATTCTGCATGTATTGTGTCAGATATGTAATGACAGTGTGAGATAAATGAGAACTAATGATATATGAAATATAAAGCTTGATGTAAATACAACAGACCAGGGGTGTAAAGTACAGCATTTGAGTAACTGTAAGTCATTACTAATGTAGTAATAACATTAATAAGTAGTCATTTCTGAATTTTAAGAATTTGTACTTAATTCTAAAATTATATATGTTACGCTTTATAAATAATTTAGAGAAGATCTTCACATCTCAAAATGCATATCATAACTTTAAGAATTGTAATCACGAATGCCCTTCCACCTTGCTACTCAGTTACAGTTTTATTTTTACTACACTATGCAGTAAAAATGTCTGTTGCCCTTTTGGCATGGATTACTCAAGGGTTTTATGGATAGTAATGTCAAAACCCTTCCCGTCAAGTAACCAGGTTTTTATGTTGTTATTTTTCACATCCAATTTGAAAAATTGGATATAGGTTGACAAAGACGTAAGCAAGCATTTTGTAATGCAACGTCTAATTCTAAATGTTTACTTCTTTTTACAATTAAGTACACTTAAATGTGAAAACTCTGGTACTTTCAATTGCAGTAAGTAATTTTAAACAAAAAATACAAATTCTCTGTACTACATCCCTGATGCAGACTACTATGAATACATCCAAGCTGTACTATGCATCTAATGAGTGCGGATCAAGTTCAGCACAGAGAGTGGTGTCTGATTATGGGGGTCTGTGGGTCGATCGGCCTTTCAAATTTTAAGAGGCAGAGGGCTGGATTTCAGCACAGGTCAAGTAGGTGGCCACCAGATCCTGCTACTAGATGCCTACCTTGACCTTCTCAGAGCTTCCTCATCAGGGTCTTGCACTGCAGAGGAGAAGAGAAAAGACAAAGAGAGAACATGTCAGACTCTACACTCTAAGTCAAAATCTATATCAAAACAAAAGCAAATGGACAAAAACATGCAGGCAGACTTACTGTATTCAGTTCCAGTAATGTGGGCGAGGACACGGAAGGACTTGGACTGCAGCTGGGCGGCTCTTTTGGCCCAATCAGCCGGCTCCAGATCATTGGTTTCACTGGGGATGACGGCCTGATACACTGGGGAAGCACTGTCTATAACATGGTCTTTAACTGGCAGATTACTGCAACCACAGAAAGAGCCGGTCGCGTGAAAACACACACTTTCCTATCAGCATGATCGGAATGTTAGCAAAGGTATTTTCATGTTTAACGACATAAAAAGTATTTTTGAGGTCTTAAAAGGGTTAGTTCACCCAAAAACTGAAACTGTCAGGGTTGTTCCAAACCCGTAAGTCTTCGGAACACAATTTAAGATATTTTTGATGAAATCTGAGGGCTCTCTGACCCTCCCATAGACAGCAAGGATAACTACCACTTTCAATGTCCAGAAAAGTACCAAGATGATCGACAAAGTAGTCCGGGTGACATCAGTGGTTCAACTGTATAGTTACGAAGCTACGAGAATACTTTTTTGCGCAAAGAAAAGAAAAATAACGTTTTTATTCTTGTTTTCTTTGCGCAAAAAAAGTATTCTTTTGTATAACTTTACAGTTGAAGCACTGATGTCACATGCACTACTTTGTCGATCATCCTGGTTCTTTTCTGGACCTTGAACGTGGTAGTTACCTTGCTGTCTATGGGAGGGTCAGAGAGCCCTCAGATTTCATCAAAAATATCTTAAATTGTGTTCCGAAGATGAACGAAGGTCTTACGGGTTTGGAACAACACGAGGGTGAGTAATTAATGACAGAATTTTCATTTTTGGGTGAACTAACCCTTTAAAACTCCATAGATAATGAACTGGGATGTAAATGCATCCATTTTAACCAATTTACTGCCATTATCACTAATTTACAGTGTATAGCCTAACATATGTTTGTTAACACTGATTATTTTACATAAATCAATGAGTATTATGCAGCATATTTCATATAAGTGCTATAAAACAGAAAAGCATGGGCATTAAGGCCAGAAGCTTGCTTATCACTACCAAATACAGTATGACAGCATATCGACACATTATATCTCTTACCCAGAAGAATGACAGAGCAGAGCATTCAGAAATCTGTTTGTTGACATCTAAAATTCAATCGCTGACTGATTTTCTATTTCCACATTAGCAGACCCTCCTGCTGTAAACCTCAGCATTTAAACACGTTTCCACCAAACACTCATAAAATCACCTAGCAGCAATATTAAGTGTTTCAGAATAAAATTTGAAAGGGAAGTTAAAGGCGAAGTCTGAGAGGAGTAAAAAAAAGGAGTAGTATGTGAGGCCATCGTTGCATTCAGATAAATAAAAAGACAAGATAACAACTATTTCAAAAGTCACCAGACAGTCTCGGCTCATGAAAACCAGGTGCATTTCAGAACTCCAGATGCTCAAGATCAATCAAAGGGAGGTTAGAGGGTGAGATGAGAGAGAAATGCATATTATGGTGATCAGGCATGCGATGTGGAAGGGAAACGACGAAAAGAGACTGCTCATATCAAACAGACTGTTCAGGCTACTTACGATAGAGGAGAGTCAGTTTCATTGCTGCCAGGCAGGGCCATTGAGATTGGACACAGGTAGGGTGGGGACAGAGTACGTGATGTACAGTGTGATGGATAGATGAAGTGATGGATGGTTGGGAATGGAGTGAGAGAGGGAAAATTAGATAAAGCTATGTTATGCATTAGAGAGTGGCTTCTGACACGAGACCAAAAGCCTGAGCTCTCATTTTCATGATTTCAAACCATATAAAAACCACAGGACATCAGAATACTGGCACCAACAAACAATACAAATATGTAGATCACTGCTAAAACACATGGATATACAGGAGAAAAAGTGCAAAAATACACAACTCACACTAGTACAGATTATCAAGTCAGACTATCAAAACACACAATGCCATTCAAAAGTCTGGAGTCGGTAAGAATTTTTTATGTTTTTGAAAAAAGTCTCTTATGATCACCAAGGTTGCAAATATTTAATCAAAAACACAGCAAAAACGGTAATATTGTAAAATATTTTAAAAAAATTAAACAACTGATTTCTATTTGAATATATAATTTATTCCTGTGACGAAAAAAAAAACGTAATTTTCATCAGCCACTGCTCTTCATTGTCTTAAGATCCTTCAGAAATATTTTTTTATTTGAAATGTGGTGCTCAAGAAACATTTCTTATTATTATCAATATTGAAAACAGTTGTGCTGCCTAATATTTAGGATTCTTTGATGAATAGAGTTCAAATGAAAGGAACTTTTATTTGAAATAGAAATCTTTTGTAACAATTGAAATGGCTTTACTGTCACTTTTGATTAATTAAAAGCACCCTATATATATATATATATATATACACACACACACACATCAAATTTCTTTAAAAAAATATTGACCCCAAACTTTTGAAGGGTAGTTCACCCATAAACCATGATCCCTAACTTGTGCAACTGAGCATTCCCATCATCATCCCCATTTGAAAAGCACACAAAAATCCAATTGGTTCTACAGAAACTACAGAAACAGAAACATAACATATGCTAACATTGAAGACTTCGAAAACCTTTCTTCTGCTTCCGTATGGCAACATGTTCATATACTGCAATTTACATTACTCAGATCAATGCTGTGAAACTGAGGAAAAGTAAGACTATATCAAGACTATGATCAGACATCCTTTGGAAGTCTTTAGCCTCTTGAGCATTAGCAGATAGCGCTGGCCCAGACAAGCGTGGCTTTGACAGGCATTATGGCAAACGTGTGTCATGCAGGACATGGGAGGAGGGAGAAGACACAGTTAGGTGCAACAGGTCTTACCCAGACAGCTCGCTACCCCTGGCCTGGGACTGGCCAGCAATGGCATCCATAATAGCATCCTGGGAGTACATGCTGATGGGGGTGTTGTACTGCGCATGGATGATGGTGGCCTTGCCTCCAGGCCCCTTCACCTCAATGGGCTTGTTGGTGGAGAGTGCAGTGTCCTTCAGAGCTATTGGGTTGAAGCTGGGCAGGTACTCAGTGCTGTGCGAGCAAGGGAGTGGTGATAAGGGATGAGTATGGGTAAAAGAGAGACAAGAGAGATAAAATGGAGGTTAGACAGAAAGAGTGAGATGAAGGGAATGTGGACAGTGAATTGGGACTGGGAGGGAAAGGTAAGAACCCAGGTGATAATAGCAGCATATGTTGTGTTTTGGATGCTGGCATGCTGGTATTTCAACAAAGCTTCTTGATTAGATTAACCACCAGAAAACTATGCTGATCGACCAGTTCTGCTAGACAACAGCATGCTTATACCTGCTTGGACCAGCATGGAAATTCATGATGGAAGGTGTTGCAGGTGAGACAAAACCATACACTAAAAAAATGTTGGGTTAAATATAACCCAGCGGTGGGTTATATTTAACCCAGCATTTTTTAGAGTGTAGTATGATAATAATTAAATAGGTAAATAAACAAATAAAAGGCTCAGTCTAATTTTTAAGGCAGAAACAACACATCAAAAACACGCTTCACACAGCAAAAACGTACTACTGCAAACAACACATACATTTACTTGTATAACTACAGCAAGCAGTACAACTTAATATACTAAACAGGGACGGGAATCAGATAGAATTTAAATTCCTGATTCTAATTCCTCTGAACCATTCCAGTTTCTTAACGGCTCCATTTATGATTCTTTCAAAGAAAAAATATTTGAAAAAAAAAAAAAGAAAGTATGACAAGATGTTTTTAATAATTAATAAATGTACAACAATTCTTGGAAAAACTTGTTCAAAACAGTAACGCATACATGTGCAAGAAACATTAACAGAACTGGACAACATTTAATTATGATAGATATATATATCCACTTTTTTTATGTATTAAATCATCATGAAATCAAATTTTGTCAAAGTTTTGCACTTTTTGTGTATGAAGTAAGAAAAATCAGAAAGTGGCTTTAAAACCATTTTTGTTACTTGAATTTGCACTAGGGCTGGACAATAATTCAATATCAATATGTATCGTGATATAATAAAAAAAAAAAAAAAAATATATATATATATATATATATATATATATATATATATATATATATATATATATATATTTTAAAACACATGGAACCCAATTATGAATAAAGGTGCATTCATGGCATGTCGAAATTACAGTGTTGAGATTCTGACTTACAATTATGAGATTCTGACTTGTAAAAAGCATTCACATCTTCATAGAATTTGTATTTACAACTCTTACAATTTGTACCACAGCAGAAACAAAATAGCTTCAGTAGAAAAATAGTTAAGCAGTTATTTCGGAATAATTATGTTTAATATTGTTAATGTCTTAAGAATAATCGGGAAAATAAAAGAGATAAAATACTATTTAATGTAACAATCAAAGAGTTAACTATAGAATAACTGTGACGAGTGGGGGCGGGGCCGAGAGCCGTGGGAACGGAGTGAGGCCGGTGGAGTAATTGATAATGAGCGACACCTGCACCACTCACCGGTCTCGAGTCCCACGGTGGAGCTCCGGAAGGATAAAAGGAGGAGTGACGACAGTGAAAGACAAGAGAGGACCAGGCCTGGTCTTTATTTTGTGTTTTGTGTGCGGCAGTCGTCCGCGAGGGGCTGCCGCTTTACTTTCATTTTGTGTTTGTTTATTTTATTAAAGTTTTCTTTAAATGTTCGCCGGTTCCTGCCTCCTTCTTCCCGACCTACGATCGTTGTTACATTGGTGCCGAAACCTGGGAGGAAGGAGGGACACGCTGTCAGAGAGCCCTCGCTGCTGAGGAGATCGCGGTGCCCGAGGCGGTGGTGCTGGAACTATGATAGACGAGGTGGGACGGAGAGCTCGCTGCCGCGCTCCTGGGTCGAGGAGGGGTTGCTGCCGTCCGAGAGGGAGCGGAGGAGTCGGCCCCGTTCACCAGGAGGCCGGAGCCTGCTGCCATCCGCCATGATTGGGAAGGAGCAGGGAACAGGGGACACGCTGCCGGCTGCCCTCAATAGGAGGAGCCATCGCCGTCCGTCAGGAGGTGGAAAAGCGGTGGGCCTTCCACCAATGGTGTCCAGTACCATCGCATGGCACCACGAGTGAGAGCCTCTCAGCCGGTCGAGGACCAAGCGGCAGTGTGTCCGGGAACCGGACCGATAATTT